ATGGGATACTCACAAGTCATTGAACATTTAACACAAGATGGTTTACTTTGCTCTAACACAATAAGGACACTCAACAAAGATAGAGTGGCTTCTCTGGATGTTCTGCTCTACTCCCATCTCACCCTTTACCCATTAGCTATCTCCCTGTGGAAGTGTGTCTGGTCAACAAGGCGGGGTAACATGAAGCTCCACTTGAGTGGGCTTTAGAAGTCCAAGCCCAAGGGATCTAGACTCTACGTGGCTAGGACTTTTTATGTCTTTAGATGAGTGGGAAGCTGTCAGGAAAGTCAGGGCCAGTCATTTAGGCCAATCAGGTTCTAGAGACAGCTTTGTTATCTTTTAGGTAGAATCTCTCCATGTTGTGGGTGAAAGGAGGAAACTGCCTGAGGGACTTGTCTGAACACATAGGGGTTGGAGAATATTCCTAGGGAAGGGAGAATACGATTATTCTCAGAAGCTGTAGAAATAACCTGTAAAGGAACTTCATTTTAAAGAAAAAAATAAATCTGTAACTAAAAAGTTCCAGTAAATTTTCAGGATCCAGCCCTCTCTGTTTTAAAAAAAAAAAATCCGAGTGGACAAAATATTTTTTTCTGACGATTCATCATTAGGGTGAGTACTTTCAATTTAGGTTTTAACTTTTCTTGTTCTCCCATCTTTCTCCTGAGTTTTACTGCAAGACTTCTTGAAATGGTAACCTATCACCTATATACCTTCACTTTCTCAGAACTCAGTACTCTTTCAATCCCTTATGATTAGGCTTCTATATCTAGCAGTGACATTGCTCTCTCACCCAGTGAATCACCCAGTGAACTCCTACTCACCATTTCCAATTGTCTTTTTCCTGTTAGCCTCCTAGTCCATTCTGTGTCATTTGACACTACTACTCAACCTTTCCTTCTAGATTCTCTTTCCTCTTGTGGCTTCTGGAATGCTTCATTCTACTGATCGTCCTCACACTTGCTCTACCCCTTCTTTTTTTGTCTCCTTTGCTAGATCCTTTTCCTCATCCCTATAATGTTAACATTTGCCCCAATTTCTGTCCTCAGTATTCTCCCCCTTCCCTCCTTTCCCTCTCCTCTCTTGTCCTCTGCTCTCCTCTCCTCTCCTCTCCCCTTTCCTCCTCTCCCCCTACCTCTGTCTTCCATTTCCTTTCCTGACATTCTTAGTCACCCCCATGGCTCCAACTGTCTTCCTAGATGACTCATATATATCTTCAACCCTGACCTTTGTACCAAGCATCTAACCAGTATCTCCATGTGTTTGTAGGACATGTCACAGTTGATATCTCCAAAATTAAATTCATCTGTCCCTTTAATACCTTAATAAAAAAAAACTCTTTAAGCGCTTTAAAAAAGAAAAAACAACTCTTTTTGAAGCTCTTTTTCAGTTCTTTAACTCAGCTACCACCCAGTGTCCCATGTTTGAAACCTCATTATTTTCTTTGACTTCTTCCTTCAGCTCTTAGACCTGATCACTTACCGCATCCTGTTGATTCTTCCTCCTCATTCTCTTGCATCTGTCCATTCCTTTTCATTCCCTCTGGTCCCACCCTAGTACAGGCCCTCATTATCATCTGAAATTTTGCAATAACTTCCTCACCAGTCATTGCACTCCTTACCTTCCTCCCATCCCACCTATCTCTTTCATATTATTATACCAGGTTAATCTTCCTCATGCCTAGTTCTGTTAATGACTGTAGACTTTTCAAAAGAGAATGTCCTTTTAAGATCCTTATTACTTGTAAAATAATTTGAACTTGTTAACCTGCCTATGCAAGGCCCTACAATCTGGCATACTTTCCTCTTCCATTTATCCATCCTTTCAGCCTTATCTCGAGCTACTCACCTTCATATGTTCTCTGTGTCAACCAAACTAAGACAACTAGCCAACATTCAAAGACATTCCTTGTTTTCCCATCTCTAAGTTTGTGTTTCCTCCTTCTCTGACTAGGATGCTCTTTCTCTATCCACTTTTTGAAATTTTACCTGTCCTTGAAAACCCCACTTACTTCATGAAGCTTTTTACCTGGTATCCCTAGTTAATAATTGTCTTTCCATATTCTATTCACCTTTTAGGAATCATTGTCTCATAGACTTGGAATAGAAAGGTACCATCAGATCCAACCCTCTCATTTTATAGATGAGGAAACTGTTACCCAGAGAGTTTTAATGACTTTACAGCTTGTAAGTTTCTCAGCTGAGATTCAAACCCAGGTCCAGTGCTCTATCCACTATACTAGCTTCCCTCTTAATACTCTTCTGCCTCCACAATGCACTTGTTATTATATGTGTGTGTGTGCTTTAACCTGCATGTAAGCTCCATAAGGGCAGGGAATCTGTCTTACTCAGTTTTTGTATTTCCCCATTGCTAGCACAGTGCTCTGTATTCTGTTCTTTAATAAGTGTTTGTTGAATTGGATTTGCCCATAACTTAGAGTTTATAAACATTAATACCCCTGTAACTATAAAGGTTGCAAATTCCTGGTTTTTCCACATGTCTACCCTTGACCAAGTGACCACACATCTAGGTCTCATTTTCCTTTTCTGTAAAATAATGGCATTGGCTAAATGAATTCTAAGGCTTTGGTGATCATTTAGCCTTTCTGAGACTGTTTCCCGTTATGTAAAATGGAGATTGTGATATTTGTACTATCTATGTCAGAGGATTGTTGTGAGGATTGGATGGAAATGCTTTGTGACTGGAAAGCATATGAAGTATTAGCTATAGTTATCATGTTATTCTGAAAACTGTAATACCTTTGGGAGAGTGGAATAGGGCATCCTCACTTTGTAAAAACCATTGTTGAAAAGTTTCATGGTATCCAGAAGGTGATAAGGAGGGTGAGTAGGAAAGAAGTGGCAAGTAGTTCTTCCTTTGAAGAATTTCACTGTTTTCCCCATTTCTGAGGGAATATAAAGCTCTATAAACAGCTCTTCTTTCTTTATCTTCTTTTTTATTCTTCCCTTTTTATTTCCATGTGTTCCCTTCCACTCTTTTTTTCCCGAAAGCACATAGTATTTGATCGATGAAGGGAGACTGTGGTCTCTTGGTTGCTTCTAAGAAATCTATTGCATTTCCTCTTCCTCCCTTTCCCTCAGCCCTGTACTGATTATGGAGTATTTAGAGAAAAAGTACAGATTATTATTTTTGCCCCAAGACATGCCTGTATCATATACATTTTGGGATAACAATCCTTTGGCAGCTTATTTAGGGCAATGAATTTTAGGTATGTCTGGATCCTTTCTCTTTTTAGACACCCTGTTTTCCAGAGCTAAGGCCCAGCAAGCAAGCTGTGCCCTGAGCTTGGCATAACAACAATCCTTTGCGTTATTCACGAACTTTGCTACAACTAAATCATGGAACTGATGGTCCCTGAGCTTGGGCAAGCACCGACAAGACGAGGCATGAAGGCTGGTTATGAATGGACTTTTTGTTACCAGACAGCCTTGCCTCACAGCTGCTGTTGTGCCTCACCACTGTTGCTACAGTACACTATACTGATTCTTTGTCTAGTCACAAATATATGAATCAAGGTTTAGCCCCACTGCCTTGGGTCTCCTACTAGAGGAGGCCCTGACACATGTGTCTAATTTCTCTGCCACAATAGAATAAAGAAAGCTTTTTGCTTTTAACCAGTGTGAGCTCTTTGGTATTTTTGGAGTTAACAGTGGTTGCAAAACCTGTGTGACTCTTTGGTCATTTGTTACTAGAGTTGACAGTTATAACCAGGAATAATAGAGTTCAAGCTAGAAGGGACCTTAAGATCAGTTAAACCAGTGACAGAGTAAGACACCAAGGCCTTGAGAAATTAAGTAAATTAACCCAAGATCCTAATGGACTACTTGTAGGGCTTTAATTAAATCAACGTTTATTCTAGGGCTTTTATTTGCTAGAGCATCATGCTAAGCATTGTACTCTAGGGCTGTCTCATTAAGCTTCAGGGTCTACTTTATTGTGGATCCACATGCCCAGTGAGAAGAAGGAAGTTCCTAGTTGCCACTTTCCAAAATCTAGCGGAAGAATTGCTTATGATGTGTGTTGTCTCCCAAATGGCATTTGAGCATTCATTCATTAAGTGTATTTTGAGTTTCTGTGTAAGGCCCTTCTTTCCTCCAACTAATTTGCATTTATTTTATATATATTTTTATATGTACATATTGTTTCCCCTGACTTAAGTCCCTTGAGTATTGGGAATTTTGTTCTTGTCTTTGTTCTCCAGCACCTTGCACGGTGCCTGTCAAATAGTAGGTAGACACTTGCCAATTGTTTGATTGATGGATACTGTTCCTTTCCTCAATAATGCCTTTCAAAAAAAAATTAAAAATAAATTAAAAAATAATGCCTTTCCTCCTCACCTCTGCTGTGTAACTAAATCCCACCTGTCCTTGAAGTTCTGCTTTCTCTTTGAAACCTTCTCTTGCTTATTCCAACTCACATTCGACTCACCCTTAACTGAATTTCTACTGTACTTCTAAAGTCAGTACACATTGTTAAACATAATTGTTCTCTAATTGTTTGGTGTGCGATGTTTTTCTCCCCTACCATGTTGTAAGCTTCTTGAGGGGCAGTGACCATGGTTTGCACTATCTTTGTACTTCCATCTATATTTGTTAGTATGACAGACATATGGTAGGTGATACAGGTGTGTGCTGGAGTAAACCTACACTGGTGGGTGAACCAATTGTTCAGTTTTCGGTGTAACTATACCTTGGGATTTAGCAAACACTACAAATCAAGGCTTAATTTATTGTTTCATTGGTTGTCTAGATTTAACAGTGATGGAGAAAAGGTCAGTAATACACATTAACCTTAAAAAGTGTGTTTTGCCTGCATTTTTTTTTCTTTCTGGAGAGCTGATTGTTAAGCAATTAGCAGCACATCATTAATGATGGATAAAGAAACTATTACTGTTGACTCTGGCAACACATTTGTATGTTTCTATGAAAATGCTGAATGACAAAATAAATGTAATCCATCGCCCTTCTTATTAATTACAGAGTACCCGAGAAGCAGAGATCAAATTAAAAAGTGAAAGCAGAGTTAAACTCTTTGTCTTGGATCCAGATGCGCAGGTGAGAAGTGTGTTTTTGTCTGACATCTTCCAAAACCAAGCAGAGAAATTGCTTTTAATAGGCATTTTAAAATGGCACTATTTACCATTGCCTCATTTTCTTTTTAAGAAGCTTGACTTTACGGGACTGGAACCAGAAGTGAAGCCATTTGAAGAGAAGTTTGGGAAAAGAATTCTCATCAAATGCAATGATTTGTCTTTTAATTTGCAATGCTGTGTTGCTGAGAATGAGGAAGGACCCACAACAAATGTAATTGCTTTTGAAAATATTTATTTATCTTTTCTTTTTGTGTGTGTGTGTGGTATCAGAGGCATTCAGATCATTTCAACATGATAAGCAGTTTTTAGGGCAGTCCAGCCTGGGAATCTCCATTTCCCTCCTCGGAGAGGGTAGGAATGCTTTTAGAACAACCATGAGCATAGATGTAGTCGTGGGCATTGTTTAGCCTGCAAGGTCAAGATGGATATGAATGATAAGATGTTAGTTTTATGTTGGATGCCTTTGATGTTTTACGTTTAAGGTTTTATTGGGGCCATGGTTTATTTTTTGTGGATCACATAAATAGACCAGGAATAGAGACAAACAGTATTATAGATTTGGTTCCTGTTGTACCTATTGAAATTAAACATTTTTTCCCACAGTGTAGTCCTGTTATATAATATAAATAACAAAGGAATAATACACATTTTCAACTTGAGTAGCTTACAGCTAGTATTTCTTCATTAACCAGTGCTGCCTTTTCACAGTTTAGGTAATAACCAATATTTTGTTGCTTCCCTTCCAGGTAGAGCCTTTCTTTGTGACCCTCTCACTGTTTGACATAAAGCATAATAGAAAGATTTCTGCTGATTTTCACGTGGATTTGAACCACTTCTCAGTGAGGCAAATGCTTCCTGGTCCACCCCAGCACATGGTAAATGGCAGCGGAGATAGTTTACAGAGGATTCAAAATTTCTTTCATGAAGCCATGTTGCAGTATCCAAAGCAGGTATGAGACAAAGAAAGGTATTGCATTAATGATGTGAATGCCCGTCTTATTAGGGCAACTTTAGAGATGGCTAACACTCATTCTTTGTTATATCTGATTTCACTTCAAATTTTACTGCTATAAATATGTCAAAGATTTCACAATGAAGAACTGTGATTAGGATAGTGGTGTTTAAGATTGGGAATAAAATTAAAATTTCCAATATTGAGTCGAAGCATTCTTCATAGTGGATTTAGAGATAATGTAATTGACCACTGGTGGAAGAGAGACAAATTGGTTTGAGGGAAAGGAAGAAGAAAAAGAGGCCTTACTCATTTCTTCTTTCTTAGTTTAGAGCAGAAGTGGAGATCCTTTGACCTTCAGGTCACATGTGGACCTCAAGGTCCTCAAGTGCAGCCTTTTGACTAAATCCAAACTTCACAGCACAAATCCCCTTAATAAAAGGATTTGTTCTGTAAAACTTGGACTGATCAAAAGGCCACACCCGAGGACCTAGAAGGCCACATGTGGCCTCGAGGCCGCCGATTCTCCACTCCTGGTTTATAGCTTTCTTTTTACTTTTTCCCCTTCCAAACCTGTAAGTGTTTTCTTTAATTGGTATAAACTTTCCATTTGTTACCCAGTTTGACATACTGATAGTTATTTTTCTTATTTTTCTTTAATTTTTAATTTGTGGAATAAAACAAGCATTTTCATAATACAGTATAATAAAAAAGATGATTTCACATGAGACTGCAAATCTATTACATATACCTTGTTATTCCTTTTAAATATATAATAAAGCTTTCATGTAAATGTCTTTTTTTCTTTTTTTTCTTCCTCTACCATTAGACAAATATATATATGTATGTATGTAAAATCATTCTATCAGTTCTCTGGATGCAGTTAGTGTCTTCCTTCATATGTCCTTTATAGTTAATTTGAGTATTTCTAATGGTCAAAATGACTTATTTGCACAAAGTTGCTCTTAAAAACAGTATTGCTTGCTACTATATACAGTGTTCTTTTGGTTCTGCTCATTTCACTTTTCATTATTTTGTGCAAGGCTGTCCATGTTTTTCTAAAATCATCGAGCTCATCATTTCATTTTTTTGGGGGGGGGGGGTTGGGCAGTGAGGTTTAAGTGACTTGCCCAGGGTAAGTGTTATGTGTCTGAGGCCGTATCTGAACTCAGGTCCTTCTGAATCCAGTGCCGGTATTCTCTCCACTGCGCCACCTAGCTGCCCCTGAGCTTATCATTTCTTAAAGCAAGTAGTATTCTGTTACAGTCATATACTACAACTTGTTCAGCCGTTCAGCCATTAATAATTGGAATGTGTCTGTGTGTCCCCCTGCTTTAGATACCTGTGTGCATGTAATTTGTGTAATGTTATAAGTTATATTTATTGAAAAGAATGCTGTTTCTACTACAGGGAATATTCTCAGTCACGTGTCCCCATCCTGATATATTTCTTGTGGCTAGAATTGAAAAAGTTCTTCAGGGAAGCATCACGCATTGTGCTGAGCCATACATGAAAAGTTCAGACTCATCTAAGGTAGGAAACATCTTATGCTTTGTGATGAGAAAAAGAATAAAGAAAAGCTGAAGCTTTTGCTTATTTTAAGTTTATAGTACTAATGCCCAATAAGACCCAAGTTGGAGCCATTATTTGCATTCTAGTTCAATCCAATATGTATGTATTGTGCCATGCACTTTGTTAGATACTGGGAATATCAAAACAAAATGAAAAGGAGGCGTTACCCTCAGGGAGCTTACATTTTACTGAATTGTTCTCTACGACGTAATATTTCCAACTTTGTGTTTCAGGTTGGTAATAAAAGGAGGGTGTGTGTGTGTGTGTGTGTGTGTTTGTGTATAAAATACCAAATCCTGCTGGTCCTACTCTAAAAGGCATTTGCGAAGATAAGACTTTATCAAACAAAATTTTTTTAAACTAGATTTTTTAAAAAAAACTTTATTCACTTCCACATAGGTAGTTATTTTGCTATTTCATTCTGTTTTCTGACTTTTCAATTTCATTTTAATGAATCTCTTCAATTATTTTGGAAGACTGCATATTTAATATGCAAATTTTGGCAAGTAGCTGTGATTTAGCCTATGTAAATTGAGCGTATGAATTGATATCAAATAGCAATACAATAAACAGCATAGTATAATCAGAGTATTGACTCGGAGTCAGGAAACCTGTATTTAAATCCCACCTTTGGAATTTAGTAGCTTTGTGACAGTGATCAGTTTACTTAGTGTCTGGCTTAGTGTTCTCATCTGTAATGTGAGGCTAATAATACTTGCACTACTTACCCCCTAGACTTGTAGTGCAAAGTACTTTGTCAATCTTAACAAACGTGAGTTATTATTACTAAGAAAGGAAATAAGTATTTGGAGCATCCTACGAAATCGTGTTTTAGCTCTTTTGGCTCTCAGTCAATTGATCAGTAAACATTCATGTGCCAGACACTATCCTAAGGACTAAGGATACTAACTGAGGCAAAAGACAGTCCCTTTCCTTAAGGAGCTTACAGTTGAATGGAGGAGATAACATGCCAATAAATATATACAAAGCAAGCTGCATAGAGGATAAATAGGAAATAATTAACAGAGGGAAAAGCACTGGACTTAAGAGAGGTTGGGGAAGGCTTCCTATAGAAAATGAGATTTATTTGGGACTTAAAGGAAACCAGGGAGGTCAGTAGTTGGAGCAGAAGAGGGAGAGCATTCCAGACATGAGGGACAGCCAGAGAAAGTGCCTGGAGCAGAGAGATTGATTTTCTTGTTTGTGCAACAGCCAAGGGGCTGTTGTCACTGGATGGAAGAGTACATGTTGGGGAGTAATGAGTAAGAAGACTGGAAAGGTAGGAGGGGCTAGGTTATGAAGGACTTTGAATGCCAAACAGAGCATTTTATATTTGCTTCTGGAGGCAATAGGGAACCACTGGAGTTTACTGGGTAGGAGGGTGACATGAACAGACCTTTCTTTTAGGAAAATCACTTTAGCAGAATGGAGTTGAATTAATGTGGCCCAAGATGCTATCTTTCTTTGAACTTGAATATTTATGTACATCTTGGTTTGTGATTTGAGAGAAAACTGAGCTGTGACAGAGCCCTAGGAGAAATAAAACAGGTATGTGTTCCCTCAAAGAGAAAGAAAGTCAAGGGATTTCCCATTTTAGCTTCTGCCACTGACCTAGAATAGCTTCATTGCAGACTGGAGCAGGGTGGGTTAAAGAGCAGCCTGGTAGTGGGTACAAGGAAGAAGCAGTCTGCACCAGTAGCTGAAAGGTAAAAGATAACCCGTACATACATCATATGCTTGGGAAGTCCCTATAGACTTATTACAGAATCTTAGAAATGACTATCCTAAAACCCTCATCTCTCAATGGAAACACTGCAGCCCAGAAAGGTTGTGATTTGTATGAGGTTCCCAGAGCCAGATCTCTTGACTGCCAGACCAGTGCACTTTCTGTCCCAAAATCCTGGCTGTTTTAGTGGGATAGTGCAGGTTATACGATCTCCTGGTTTACCAGACGAGCAACAATATTAGTCATTTTTTATTTGATTTGGATAAGAGGAAGCATGAAAGGTGACCAGAGCATAGTGTAAGAAGCTTGTCAGCATCAGTGGGTAGAGAACTGGGGGAAATCTCAGCCCAGCTTGGAGGTATTTAATAGGAGACTTCTTCATGCTTGTCACCCACTCGGGTGCTGTTTCCTCAGGCACAGTATTTCCAACAGCAAACCTTTTTGGCTGATTAAAGTAGAGTAAAAGTTAATCCCTGGAGGGACTTTAAAAAAGGGTGAAACTTTAGAATGATACATTCTTTCATGTTCTGATTAATAATCTATGGGTGTGAAAGATCAAACGCACTGTTTACTCTATATATGGGATTTGTGTTCAAGGCCTAAGTAAAATTCAGTTTTCTGTCTACTTGCCATGTGCTCTCTTCTAAAGAGAGCAATCCTTTTTTTTTTTTTATGGAGTAAGGGAGAATCTGCACCTGTGGTTTCACTAGTAAGGGACTTCCTGGTATGGACACTCCCTCCACCAATAAAGCTGAGCAATTTGTTTGTATCATACATATGTAGAGTTGCTTGGGGACAGTGAAAAGTTATGTAACCTGTCCATGGTCACGTAGCTAGTATGTATCTGAAATAGTACTCAAACCCAGGTCTTCCTGATTCCAAGGTCACTCGTGTTGTGCTGCTGCTTACAGGACTGTGTACTGTAGAAATGATGTCTTTTGCCCTAGTTAAGTTTTACATTGAAAGCTTTTCAGTGTATGACAAATGTCTTACTTGACTTTTTCTTTTTCTTCACTTGCCATGGAATGTGAACTCCACTAATGCAACAGGAACCAGTATATGGTGAAATAACTTTCCTTGTAGGCCCATAAATCTTACTGCAGAGCAGCAGTCAAGGAACACCCTTCACCTGATAAGAATGGAAACTTTTGGTAAAAGCTGCCATGGGGAGAGAAGCTTGATGACTCCCAGGGTTTCACTGAATGCATGTTATATAGAAAAGCTTAAGCATTAAGCTGCCCCATGGGGATGATTGGTTAAAAAAAAAGTGTAGACAGATCTCTTTGCTACACATAATTAGAGGTTTTAATAAATGCCCTTTGATTTTTCTTTTCTTTTTTTTTTCTTAATGTTTTCTATACAGCCCCTCATCTTAACAAAAGAAATTAGAACTCTCTAGAACATTAACTGTGGTTCTGGGAGTCTATGCTAGTCTTCTACTTAAGACAATTTCCAGTATGTGATATATACATTTTTGGATTTCAGGACTGAAAGTGACCTTAGGGATCATCTAGTTCAGTTGCTTCATTTTACAAATGCCCAGAGAGATTAAAGAGATTTTTTAAAAAATCAACAACATACTAAATCAAGTCCTGATTTGTGGTGTTTGCTGATTTTTTGAGGTCTAAGTGCCTTCTTGGAAAATTTAACAAATCAGCTCTTGCAAGCTGGTTTGAGCTAGCTCTAGCATACTCCCAGATTTTTCCCATCTAACACCTTTGGAAAAGACCTGTGGTTACAGAGTGTATAAATCTTTCCACATTCTGCCATTTATAAAGAAGTGAATTTCTTTTCAGGTTTGTGGTGCTATTCCTAGAGTTCAGAGGATAAATCTTTGCTATTGTTTTGAAATGCTCCTTTGGAATGTGATTCTTTTCTCTCTGTGTCTATGACACAGCCCATGTTCTGCTACCATTTTCTTCCTCCTGACTTTATTTTGATCTCCTGCAGGTTGCCCAGAAGGTGCTGAAAAATGCTAAGCAGGCATGCCAAAGACTAGGACAATACAGGATGCCATTTGCTTGGGCAGCAAGGTAAGGTTAAACATTTCATTGGCCAGCTCTTACCTGTCTTTAGTAATATTTTCACTTCATCTTGATGCAGTTATCTAGGGTGCTTGTATTTGAGTCAAAATGTTTTCTGATTCTACTGTTCAAAATTGAAACTTTGTGATGCAATGGAAAAGGCATGGGATTTGGAGTCAGAGGACCTGAGTTCTAAATTTGATTCTGGCGGTGCAGTAGATAGAGTGCTGGGTGTAGAGTCAGGAAGACCTGAGTTCAAATGTGGCTTCAGATACTTACTAGCTGTGTGACTCTGGGCAAGTCACTTAACCCTGTTTGCCTCAGTTTCTTCATCTGTCAAATAAGCTGGAGAAAGAAAGGACAAACCACTACCAGAATCTTTGGCAAGAAAACCCCAAGTGGGGTCATGAAGAATTGGATACTGAAACAACTGACCGATAACTTATTAGCCATGTGACTTTGGGCAAGTCACTTAATCCTTAGGTCTCAATTTTCTCATCTGTAAACTACGGAGGTTAGGCCAGATGACCTTTGAAGTTCCCTCCTGCACTAAATCTGTGGTCCTATTAGTTTTAGGAAAGTACTATATTTCCAACTTGGCATTGAGACTATCTCTTGGCCACCGTGCTTTTGTGGGCCATTGTTATATAACAGAAGAAGTCCTACTGGCATTGCGTGATGACTGGAAGAGTGAAGGGAACTTAGAATGTAAGAACGCCTGAACGAAAGCAGGGGGACTGGCAATCAGCTACAGGAGGGCTGCAGCTAATCCCCATTGTGGTCATCCGTACCATAAGGAGTTGGCTGCACATTGTTTTATAAACAAAAACCATTCACTGTCATCCTGGAGTTTCCTATATAAATGAAGCTACTATTGGTCCTTCTGTATCAATCTACCACATCGTCACATAATTAAATTCTTCTTGGTTGCAGTTAGTAGAATAATAATGGTTCTTCATTTGGAAACTAGTGTTCGATGGCTATATTTGTTTTGGCTTGCCATAACTCATTTTAAAGCTTGCTGTATTGATTTTTCAGAACGTTGTTCAAAGATTCCTCTGGAAACCTTGACAAAAATGCTAGATTTTCTGCACTCTACAGACAAGACAGCAATAAACTATCAAATGAAGACATGCTTAAATTACTAGCAGATTTTCGGAAGTAAGTTCTAACTCATATTTATTTTCATGTCTTAGAGGGGGAAAATTTTTTTTTAAGGTAACATGAAATTTTATTTTTTTAATTTATTTTTTAGTTTTCAACATTTACTTCCACAAGATTTTGAGTTCCAAATTTTCACCCCATCTCGCCCCTCCCCCCACCCCAAGATGGCATGCATTCTAAATACACCTTTCCCTAGTCTGCCATCCCTTCTATCTCTCTCCCCCTTCTCTTATCCCTTTCCCCTTCAATTTTCCTGTAGGGCAGGATGGATTTTGGCACCCCATTTCCTGTATTTCTTATTTCCCAGTTGCATGTGAAAACATTTTTTTTAAACATGTGTTTTTAAAACTTTGGGTTCCAAATTTTCTCCCTTCCTCCCTCCCCACCCACCCTCATTGATAAGGCAAGCAACTCAATATAGGTTATATGTGTGCAGTTATGCAAAACACTTCTATAGTAGGCATGCTGTGAAAAACTAACTCTATTTCCCTTAATCCTATCCTGCCCACCCATTTATTCTATTCTTTCTTTTGACCCTGTCCCTCCTCAGCAGTATTTGCTTCTGATTACTCCCTTTCCCAATCTACCCTTCTCTCTCTCATTCCCCTACTCTCTTGTCCCCTTGCCCCCCTATTTTCCTGTAGGGTAAGACAGATTTCCACACCCAATTGAGTATGTATGTTATTCCCTCCTTAAGTCAAATCCTATGAGAATGAGATTCACTCATTCCCTCTCACCTTTCCCCGTTTCCCCTCCACTGTAAGAGCCTTTTCTTTTCTGTTTTTGGTTTGTTTTTTTTTTGTGTGTGGGATAATTTACCCCATTCTACATCTCCCTTTCTCCTTCTCCTAGTATAATCCTCTCTCACCCCTTAATTTTATTCTCCAGGTATGATCCCTTCATTTTCAACTCACCCTGTGCCCTCTATCTATCTATATCTATATATATGTACATATAATTTTTTCCCCTCCAACTACCCTAATACTGACAAAGGTCTCATGAGTTACAAATATCATCTTTCCATGCAGGAATGTAAACAGTTCAACCTTACTAAGTCTCTTACGATTTTCTCTTTCCTGTTTACCTCTTCATGTTCCATTCGAGTCTTGTATTTGAAAATCAAATTTTCTATTCGACTCTGGTCTTTTCATCAAGAATGCTTGAAAGTCCTCTATTTCACTGAATGACCATTTTTTTCCTCTGCAGGATTATACTCAGTTTTGCTGGTTAGGTGATTCTTGGTTGTAATCCTATCTCGTGTGCTCTCCAGAATATTATATTCCATGCCCTGCAGTCACGTGATGTAGAAGCTGCTAAATCTTGTGTTATCCTGATTGTGTTTCCACAA